GCCCAACAGCCCCTTCTGCACAGAAATCCTTCCTCAGAGCCAGCCTGACCCTGCCCTGGGCAGCTTGAGGCCATTCCCTCGGGGCCTGGCGCTGGGGCCTTGGCTCCAGAGACTCATCCCCCCTCTCTGCCCCCTCCTGGCAGGGAGTTGCCGAGGGCCAGGAGGTCTCCCCTCAGCCTCCTCTTCTCCAGACTGAACCCCCCCAGTTCCCCCAGCCGCTCCCCAGCAGACCTGTGCTCCAGACCCTGCCCCAGCTCCGTTGCCCTTCTCTGGCCACGCTCGAGTCCTTCAATGGCCTTTTTGGGGTGAGGGGCCCAAAACTGAACCCAGGAATCGAGGGGCGGCCTCCCCAGTGCCGAGCCCAGGGCTCAGATCCCTCCCCTGGCACAGCTCAGTCCATGTGTGTTGGGTCCCTCTGGGTCACCTCCCCGCCAGTCCCATATGCTGGGACACCGGGCGGGTGGTGTCCAGCAACATCCTCTCGGCAGCATCCAGAGCTGCGTGGCCCAGGCTGAGCTGGGTGAGAGCTGCTGGATCAGAGAGGAGGGCGGGAAGGACAGAGCTCGGGTCGCCTCGGGATGGACCCCTTGGTCCTGGCCAGCTTCTCCCTCCTCCTTTTTTACTGAGGGTTTTGGCTCTCATGGAGGAGTCCCTCCAGGAGCCATCGTTGCCTCACGGTGACACTTACCCCACTGAGTGTTTTCCTCCCCCAGCTTGGCTTCATGCCACAGTGGTCACAGGGGTGCCCAGCCCTCAGTTCCCTGTGGTGGCCTGAGCAGCCCCGGGGCTTCTCCAGGTCCCTTTCCACCTCCACCCACAAAATATCAAGGAGATGCAATGCTGTGTCCTGCACCAGCCGTGGAGACTTGAGGGATGTGGGTCCCGGCCTGTGCTGGTCCCCTGGCTCCTGGCACAGAGCTGGGGGGTCAGTGCCCCCCCTTTTCAAGTGGCTCCACGGGCTGTGTGAGCCGCCAGAGCAGCCTTGAGGTGTAACCCTGGGGGTGCAGGACCTGTGCCCAAGTTTGGGTCCTTGTGACCCAGCAGGATTTGGGGGTCGCTGCTGGGTGTGGGCCCCTTCTGCTCTCCCTTCCCCCTGCAGCCACCTGCCCCGGGTGTCCTCTCGCTCCTGCTCCAGGAGTGATTAATGGGTGCTCGGAGCTCGTTCCTGGCCAGCTGGGGTTGCTGGAGCCTCCCTGCCATCTGGGAAGGGCTGCATTGTTCCACCTTGTGATTTACAGGGACGGTCCCCTCCCTCCTCACCCTGCTCCGGGGACTGCAGCGAGCCCAGCCCTGTCCCGTGTGGAGCACCCACGGTGCCTGGCACTTCCCATCCATCTCCTGGGGCTGACGGAGTCCCCACAACCAGCTCTGTCTTGTCTTGTTCTTGGAAATGACCTTCTGCAGAGCAGGGAGGACCCTGCACCCGTGCAAAGCCCTCGTGTACCCCCGGGGGGGTGGTTGTGTCCCCTCACACCCACCGGAGCCCTCTCTGTGCCCAGAGCTGCCCCAGCACCCTACACACTGACAGCCAGGCCCCAGACAGGTCCAACACCCGTCGGTCCCCAGGCGTCACAGCCGGGCTTCCCGCTCCGCAGAGAGGGGGGCAGAGGCTCGGGGGAGATAACCCCGCAGATTAGGCATCCTAGAAAGCAGGGTGCGGGGTGTCTGGCCTCTCCCTGCCCCGGGCAGGATCAGCAGCATCTCACCCATCCCCACAGATATTTTTCTGACCCATCTGCAAGCCCCGGGGCCGCAGGACTCCAGGTGATTGTGCCAGACCCTCCTTGGCCCCGCTGGCCCTCCTCTCCCAGCGCCGTGCACTGCGGACCCTGCTTGGGGGGGACACGTGCGGGTCCCCAGTGCACGCCCTCGCGCCGGCTCTTGCCACGCTGCTCTCTGGTCTCCGTCCAGACGGGCTCTTTATCTCTGCCACGCGATCGCCGGTGCGAGGCATCCGATGGCTCATCAGCTCCTGCTCCGCGCCTCTCGCAGGAAGGGATCAGCTACGAGCTTTGTCTCGTGAGTCCGTCAGCCCTTTTGGGCCAAGGCTTGTCTCTCCAGGCCCGTCTCGGATCAGCATCGTGGCCTCGGGGGACCCTTGTGCTCTAAAACCAAGCATGAAACAAGCATTTAAAACGATGGGTCACGGAGGCTGCGTTTGGGAAGGCCCCTGGGTGCCGTTTGTCCCTTGCGCGGGGTCCAGCCCTGCCCGAGAGCCGCGGCGGGGGGGTTGTGGTGGGTCCTGTCACAGGGGAAGGGGATGCTCCAGGGATGGGGGTCCCCGGCCTGGG